TCCTGCTGCTAAATTCAAGAAAAGTGCCTCTGAAATCAGTAATACTATGTAAAGACATGGAAAAAATCACCGTTAGGTTTGTGACTTTGAAAGCCAGGACAAAGCAGCTGGATTTAAGAAGGTAACTATGTTTAATAATGCTAGCAGAAAACAAAAGATAAAATCCTCCAGTTTTGCCTGACATCTGACAGATTAATTTGAATTTTCAGGTTATGTTTAAATCATTTCCAAAAGGTTTTGAATTACCTGCTTCTTTGCAAAAGCGAACAAACCCTAGTTATGTACTTTTGTATCAAGCTTTAATCTGATGCACAAAAGGGAGGTGGAATGCATGGGTTAGAATTGCCAAGAGATTCTAAATGTCCAGTGACTGCAAAAAAATAACTGAAAGTTCACCAAAATTACTGCAAACTGGGCATATTGAAAGAAAATATATTCAGTTGTACACACAGAGAAGGAAACAGGTGCAGGGAGAAGCTGGTATGGAAGCACCCATGAAAAAATCATCTCTACATATGTGCTACTTTAAACTAAGTTAGATTATTAATTTTAAAAAGAGGAGATAAACACTGCTGGAAGCAACATTAGAATATCTCCGCTCTTTCATTAAACATTGAAAACCTGAGAAACAGGAATTAATCTTAATTACTCTGTCCCTACAACACACCTTAGGGCTCACGAAAAGTGTTATCAGGGCCCTGACAGTTCAACAGTTTCTCTATAAACTGCCTGTTCTGCTATCTAGGCTCTTCACTCCCCTTTTCTAGGAATAATATCAGCCTCCTTTCAGCCTCATCTTCCTGTCACGGCTGAATTCCAAATATGTTCATAAAACCATCATTAATTATCTCAGGCCTCTACTGTCTTGATGCAGTAACTATCCATTTAACAATCTCATGTGAATTTAAAGAACTAATCACAAAATTAATACTAAGAACGTGTCCTTATAGCAGTGAAGTAATCCTGTTCTGGAAACAGCTACAGTGATAACTTTTTCTTGAAAATGAGTGGGTTTGTTACTGGATTTTAGGATACCCTTGACTCTCAGCACTTTCTTATTTTTCCTTGTATAATCAAGATAACCTCTATTTCACTTAAGAATTTATATTACCCAAATTGTGTGTTCATGCATTTATCTTCTCCTCTTGGAATACTTAGGCAAAATGTCCCAAAATCTTAGTGCTTTTCCTCTAAGATAACATTTTTGTACTTTGTATGCAGTCCCTCTTTCACAGGGATGCCAAAACCTTTGATAGCTGCAACCAATAAATTCATTTGCTCCAAATCAGAATTTGTTCCCCTGGGCATCCCAGCTGGTCTTTATACAGAATAGAGCCGAAGAAAAAAAAGTATTTACTTCCAAACTGCAAGCAACTATATATAATTATGAAAAAGTAAGTGTATGGTGATGTGGATGTATTCTCTACCCTCGTTGCCACCATAATCGTTAATTTAGGTCCCAGATGCGCAATATACAGTAGCCTTTTTATATAGCAGCCCCACCCTGTGATTAGCAGCTTGTGATTAACTTTACTTGTCAACAGAAAAAGTAACAGGAGATGCAGGACCACGTTTTCCTTTCTACTTTCACTGTGCACCCAAGCACCTACCTGCTCTTTAAGAGGCTAATCTTGACCCGTGTGGAAAACACAAATCCCACAAAAGGCACCGATTTTCTTTATTGCCATCACTACCTCAGGCACCCTGGCAGAACTCTTTTTCCTGCAGGCCAGGACCAGTGCAGGCCAGGACCAGGGTAAGCTTCCCCTGTGGAGAGTAACAACCATGTCTGCAGGCCCTCCAAGTAGCACGAGGAGTAGTGGGAATTTTGTGTTTTAGTGTAAAAATCAGGGATAACCCTAATCCTTTTAATGACCCAGGGGGAGGCTGTATTTACCTCTGGTAATACAACAGGTGGGTGCCTGGATACTCACGTGCTGCTCATTATCGCCTTGCGTTAAAGAGGTTTAGAAGACGCTTCCCTACGCTAAGGGATGTGAATAGAAGCTTTGCAGCGGGGGCTGTTCCCTGCGGCGGCCGGGG